AAAAAAAAAAGTAGAGAGGACGAGCAAATTTCGTCAGGTTTAAGTTAAGCTCATCGCCGTTCCCAAACGAAATGTCAGCAAACCAGTTACATTAAACGAATCAAAGTTTCCTTCTTTGCCATTTAATAAACATGTTATTAACCGAGCTAAGTCGGTCTGTATGAGAGAATCGTGACCTCGGTCGTGTGTACAGACCACACTGCGTTCGGTCTGTACTCACGACGTCGGTCAAGATTCTCCCATACAGACCTGCTGCTCGGTTAATAAGAGCTAAGTAATCGACAAAAATACGAAATACGACATACATGGGCAATCGAATGGTGTCATCACAACGCCATTGTCGTGGTGGTTTTAGAAATATTCTGCGAGTCCCTTATTGGAGATGTTCGCTAAATTTGTGTTATAATTGGGAAAGCTTTATTATGTTGTGGTTCATGTAAAACTTAATGTTATGTCCTCTAAATGATGGTTTCAAACGGCATTTACTTAAAGTAAGTGGACAAATCATGTATTCTGACTTGAAGTAAGTATTAAATGTTTTAACATGTAATGTTTCAACATGTAATGTTACGACAACTAATAATGCAATAGTTGAGAAAACGGCGTTTTTGGAGTACCAGATATCTGCAGCTTCCTCCATAGAATGAAACATTTAACATGGATCCCCATTGCGCTACCTTATGAACATAACAGATCAGTAGACACATACACGCTTGCTGTGCCCGTTTTTGATCTCGGAATGAATGATGTGAACAAATAAAATGAAGTTGTGATCATTAAATTTGCACTAGCAATTTAAGCAGTTGCTTGAACCCCAAAAGTTAAAGATTTCGGGGCTTGGGAGGGATTCGAACTTGTGACTTCTGTGTTAGGGCCGCAGTGCTCTACCAACTATAGTAACTAACTGTGAAGACCCACCATATATTGGGAACAGGCCAATGTATTGAGCTCATCGTAACCCCTGAAAGGATATGAACACAGAATGAATTATGTGACCTGTGTAAAAGCTTTTGTCCTTCCCTTAAAACATAAAAAAAATATGCATAATGTTACAATTTAAATAGACATTACTTCTTGATAAGGGCTAAGAGGAAATTGTTTTCCGACTTAAGGCTCTTTATGACCTGCTGGTGTAAAGTACAGCAGACTGATATAACATGTGTGGTCCTTATGACCAGACCAAAGTAATGCAGTAAGTAGAAAAACTCAATTTTTTTTAGTAAACACAAAGGTTTCGGGTTTGGATTTTCTTCGGTGTTTAAACTTGTCAGTTTTTTAGACCATAAATGGAAACTTACCACTTTCGTCTACACGTAGTGTTATTTCTGCAGAAGATTTTATTCAGGTGGCTGAACACAGTTTTTGGTACCTGTGTTTAATTCACCTTTTTCTCTAAAACCCTTGATCTCTCGGTCGTCAAAAATGGCAGCAAGCAAGTTAACCACACAAACGTTGGTTTTTTGATGGTTAACCTGACGTATGTGTCCTTGCCATGGCAACATGAATAAATATAAACAGGCCTTTAAAATCGGTTTTGTTTATTTGTAGAAAATCTGGTTATTAAATTTTCTTTATAATTTGCAAGCAGCACGCTTGTAACGATTCCCACAAGTTAACACCATTTTGCTAATAATTTAACAGAGAGATCGTTAATTATCCCTTGTTAAAGGTTCACTGGAATATCTAGAATTTCCTCTGTTAAAGTTCAATTATTTTCCATACTCCAGTTACTTANTTTCGGTAACAAAGAAAAAGCTGAGAATTGCTGAGTTCTTTGCATCGTTACCTTTTCTAACATATCTTTGCAATAAATGACTAAAGCCATCAATACACTGCGTTCAATTATAGAGAAAAATAGCACAGACAGTGCAGGGGTTGAGTCAATGGAATGATCGCTCTATTGACGGCGTGTTTGTTTTTTACAATCCTTGCGCGCGCGCTGAATTGCATCAGAAAGCGCGCGCGAAAACTGTGTTCGGGACGACGAACGACGACTTCGGCACGACACGACGACTTCGGTTAATTTGTGCAGACCGCCATTATTTACTGTTGGAGTCTCGCAAGTCTTGAGAATTGATCAACTTTAACGCAACCTTCACCTCAAAACTGGATCTACAGCGGATCCTCGTTCTTCTCGTTCTTCAAAGCACACTGACACATGTAAATGAGGTGGCCGGGTATTCGCAATTGCTCCAAATTTCACCGAGTGCAAGGGTTATGCAAATGAGCTTTGACACGAGCGATAGTGATGTAAATACGCTGACTGTGGCAGATTTTAATCTATTCTCGCATCCAATCCAAGGAGATACCCACCGGTTTTAACGTACAGAATGGTTTATTAAGGTAAGAAATTTACTCTGGTGTGCTTTTTAGCATTCATTTAGACCCGACTTTTGAGATTTTCTCCCTCGAATTTGGCGGAATTTTAGTAGGTGAACAAGGGCCTCAGAGTAGGGTTTTTTCCAGCCTCGCTGGTAAGCTTAGAATTTTCCGGAAAGTTTCCATATTTCGTCAGTCAAAGTAATGAATGTACTTTAGAATCCGCATGACAAAAAAATTCCGTAAGCTGCACTTTAGGGGACGCAGCACTCTTCACAAAATCGGCGTATTTTACCTTTTTGATCACGGACTACAACCTCAGTTCGGCTAAAATTCAATTTTGGCTCGTAGCAAAGCGAAAATTAGGAATTAAAAATAACAAGTTGCTTTTTATATCTATATGTGCCAAACCCTTTCCACTGACAAAAAAATGAGGGAAAATTAATATTTGGTCCCAAAGTTGAGTGGACGGCTTTTAGAGGGACTGCCACTTAAATTCCCATACCTTTTTCTTTTGAACATCAAGTGGAATCATTCGATCGGCGCCATTTTTATGCGTCATTTTTGTCTCCGCGTGCTATCTATAAATGCACCAGAAATAGAAAGCCAAGCAACAGTATTAGCCGCTGATTGCGTATTGTAGATTCTAGTCGGATAGTTTTTTTTTCAGTCAATAAGAGCACATGGTGTGCGGAAGCGACGAACGAGTTCAGTTTATACGTTCATGTGATGTAGTTTTGAAAGCCGTTAGCGGAACAAGGCACGAAAAACTTGTAAGCATTCATGTGGCTTGTTCCCTTTTAAGTTATTTCAGTTCGAAGCCGATTTTTGTATTGCTTTTGTTTCAGTGAATCGTTCTTGCCGCGCATATCAAGAATTGCCTTGTGTCCGCCGGACAATGGTCCTTATAACACGACTAAGTCAGTTCAGAGGGTCGACAATTAATAAATAAACCCATCAGATTGCTCCATGTCCCGAATGATCCCGCGCGAGCACACTTAAAGATTTTCTAATATTTTTATGACTTACGTCTCTGAAAGAACATGCTATAAATGTATTTCGTTTAGGTGTTTATTTAGGTGCTGTGTATTAGTTCCCACTGGGATAATCATACCTTTATATTCCACTCCCTGTGAATATCACACCACTTGACGCCGACGAGTTTCGTAGCCATACAGGCTGTGTTTTCCAAAGTGTAAATAGCGTTGTTTAAAATAGCGTGTAACTTTTTCTTTTATTCTCTGGCTGCATGGTAAC